AATCTAAGGATAGAGGGACAGCTCTGTGTCCCTCATTTGGGTTGGCTCAGTGGCTGGTGCGAACCAGAACTACCCCCTGCATAGAAAAGCAGAATTCCACACACAGCCACCGACTCCGAGTAGGAAAACAGAATCCAGAAGTATTGTGCTTGGAGTGTGGGCTGAATTGCTGTAATAAAGAGAGTAACATAGTGGTCTAAACAAGATGGTGTCTCTTGTGTGGCAGGTGGTCCAGCCCATCATCCTCCACACCAGTTTTTTCCACGCGGGGTCCAGCGTGGCTGCTCTGTCTTGCCACTCCTAGCAGGACTAAGTTAGCAGGGAAGGGAGAAGGCATGCCCAGTGGCCAAGGACAGGGTGCACGCGTGGCACTCGGTGCTTGTGCTTATGTCTACGCCCCTTTTGCAGAGCCTAGTCCACGCCACACCCAAGCAAGGGAAGCTGGCACCCGCCACAGAGTGGAGGCCATGGCGGGCAGGGCCGCTGCTATTCCGCGGTACCTAAACTCTGCCGAGTATGTCCAGATGATTTAGAATTGATAGTAATTTTCTATAGTTTGATTGAGTAGGACATTTCAGAATTAAGTAATGCCATTCACAAAAGACAAAGGATATTCACCTTTGAAACAAATCTAGTTTTTTATCTGATCTCTAACTCCCCTAATTGCTGCTAAAATTACTTTTATTTTCTCCTTAAGGGCTGTTCAGAAGCCAGTTCGAAGTTGAGTTGTCTATTTTAAACACTAGGACACTGAATTATTAAAATGACGGGTTTCGGTTGGCACATGGATGTGTCTCTCTCCGGTAACCAGGAGCGGGGTTTCCAGCCTCACATTCTGAGGAGTCACGTGGCCCTCACTGTGCACTGTGCATTCTCCCTGTGTTTGTCTTGTTTCACAACCCATTGACTTAAAACCAGGTTCCTCTGTAGGATGCCCTTGCTAACTGTGCTCTGCTCCTGAGAAATCGTCCTCTGACTTCCTAAGTGGTAACTGCCCTTTCTGTCATTCCCCAAGATAAAGAACAATCATTTGAATCAAGCAATTCATGAGGAGCGCGAGGCGATCATCGAGCTGCGAGTGCAGCTGCGGCTGCTCCAGATGCAGCGGGCCAAGGCCGAGCAGCAGGCGCAGGAGGACCAGGAGCCTGAGTGGCGCGGGGGTGCCGTCCAGCCGCCCAGAGACGGCGTCCTCGAGCCGAAAGCAGCTAAAGAGCAGCCAAAGGCAGGCAAGGAGCCGGCGAAGCCATCGCCCAGCAGGGACAGGAAGGAGACGTCCATCTGAGCAGCCTGCGCGGCCGTCTGGAGTCCGCGAGACTGAAAGGACCCGTGCATCTTACTGTAACCCGGGGGCCAGGCCGGCTCTCCCGCTGTACATTCTGTAAAGGTGTCTTCTCTTCTCAGACTCTTCCTCTGTCACACGTCTGACTCCTTCGCGTCAGGCTCAGGTTCCATGGGAGGATGAAGCAGTGGACACGTTGTGGGCTTTAGGGACAGATGAGTTTTCCAGATAGTGTCAGCTTATTTGAAGATTAATTTTCTTTGTTAACTTAAAGTAACTATTTTAACCCTTGAGTGGCTTCTTTTTAAACCAAAAATCGTCTTTCTTTGCTTTTTTATCACAGCAGAATCAGGATCTCTGTCTCATTCAAGGGGGGAACCACACCAGGTCAGCGCTGCGCCTGCTGTGGCCGCCGCGAGCCACGCCCTCCGGGATCTCTGGTACCGTCACTCTTGCTTGTGCCTTCCACACCTTCTCGGTGCAGATCCCTATGGGGGAGCTGCCTCACGTTCTCTGACTGGTCAGAGCAGCGCCTGGTGGGTGTTCCCTGGCCCACCCTCCTAACTGTCTCCTGCAGTTGTAAACCGCAGTCCATAAGCCCAAGTCACCAGGACGGCCTATCTGGCCACAGACGGGCTGCCTGTGGAGCCCGCCCACCCGCCCTGGGCAGCGCAGGCCTGCGGGGAGGAGGCCGCCCGTTCCCGCGGGTTCCTCACTGCGGGGACCAGCAAAGGCCTTCTCACTGGGTTGGTCAAAGGTAGTCACCTTGGCCTGGTGCATCCACAGAGGATGTTGCTCAAACCAGAAATCTTTTAACCGACTGACCTTCCTTAAAAACTGAATGACTCTGATTGCTTTCTTGGGCTAGAATGTACACGTCTCCTTGCCTGAATAAGCCATATATATGCTCTTAAACAAAAGTTTGAAATTATCCATATCGTCTCAGTGAACCTACTGGTGGACTGACTCCCAATTGACAAGATTGAGCAATAGAAAAAAATTCCTTTCCTTTGAATGGTAACTGTGATTCGCCCCACCCTATTTTCTTGTTTCTGGTCCATCCGATGAGACATGAGACGGATGCTCTGATGCTCTGAGGCTTCTGGGAGGCCGGGCCCTGGAGGCACGTGCTGCAGGTGCACTCTGTCAGAGTGAATAGCACCGTGAGACAGGCCAGGCTCGTGGCTCGGAAGACAAACCCCACACACACTCAAGGGGACGAAAACAAACCCCACACGAGGGCTCTCTCCTCCTCCTCCTAGGTAGTATTTATTTTCAGCACCTGTTTGATGCAGTTTTTAATCCTCTACCTATTGCACTGTTGTGACTCGTTGGCCATTATTTGATTTTTGTACGGAAAAAAGCTTTGTTATAGAAATCAGCATACTATTTTTTTAAATCTGGAGAGAAGATATTCTGGTGACTGAAAGTATGGTCGGGTGTCAGATATAAATGTGCAAATGCCTTCTTGCTGTCCTGTCGGTCTCAGTACATTCACTTTGTAGCTGCTGGCAATATCGAAGGTTCCTTTTTTGTTTGTGTAAACTCTAATTTCTATCAAGGTGTCATGGATTTTTAAAATTAGTATTTCATTACAAATGTCTCAGCATTGGTTAACTAATTTTTGCCAGGACCATTATTGATCAAGCAAATAAATTCAACAGCCATTTGGGAAAAAGAAAAGCTTCTAGTGTTTTTGTATACATTCTTTCTGTGAGGAGATTGAGTACTCTGCGGCTGGTGAGGAGGTGGCTGAGGCACTTCTTCAAGGCCAAGGGGGAACACAGTGTTTTGTTTTCAGCTCATCTCTTTTGAGCTGTACCCCTCACCTCTGCAGACACGGGGAGAACCCCGGACCCCTGGCATGCATGCTGGCTGCAGCGTGCCTCCCTTCCACGAGCCCACGCTGCTGCAGAGGGAGCCTGTGTGTGTTTGCAAAACCCAGCGGACTGGGTTGGGTCTGCGGACTGGGCAGCTCCTGGCTCCCGTGGGAACTGCATACAAGTCCGCTGGCCTGGCTTGGCCCCAGGCATTGCCATTTACAGATATTTGCATTTCACACGGTAAATGAGGACTCAGCACAGCCAACCATAATTAGCATGTCTGGGATAGACTGGTCTAGAATAAAAATGAAGTTTCCATTGCTTTTTTTTGCTTTAAAAATTCCACAATTAAAGTATCTGTCATTGAAAGCTTAGACAAACAGCTGACTTCTCTGTCTTCTGTTTTGTGTAGTTAAATCTATAATGTTACATTTATATAGCTAAATTCTCCTTGATGGAAAGTCTCAGACGCCCGGATGAGGTACATTTAGCATTGGGAATCTGGAGGTACTGAGGTGTGAGGCCTGAGGTCACCTCCCGAGATGGGCTCTAGTGCAGCGTGGTCTTTTTTTTTTCACTGCAGCTGTTTCTGTGAAGAGCACACTGCTTGTTATGTGTTAGGATATCTTAAGAACAAACACACCTTCTGTGTCCAGCCAGGCGGAGAAAGATGCAGCCTTGGCATTCTGGAGCTCTCCACGGAGACAACGCGCCCAATTCCACGTCTGCAGCCTCAGCCCTGGCCCATGATTCTCACAAGGGATAGAAGGAAAAGCCAGAGTCAGTTAGCAGGTAAAACCTTCAGTGTAAGATCCTACAGCTTTTAGGGAAGGTGGGCAGTGCCCCTGGAATGTTCTAGACTACAGCCCAGGCGACCCAGGAGATGTGATAGCAAGCCTGGACAGAGGAGGGGGCAGAAAGGCCTTTAAATGCCACATATAGGGGCTTTTTTGCGGAGCAGGGAGAGTGCCAAATTCAAGTTCTTTACCCCCAAATATACCATGTTAGCATAGCCACTGCTTTAAAAAAAATGCTGCTACTAGTGTATGATTCTAATGCAGTTTACAGAACTGAAATACTGGGGGCCAAAAGTATATAATAGCAGACAATCTGCAGCTCACACATGAGGCTATATCAAGGGGCCAGGTCCTCCTCCAGTTTCTGCTCTGATGCTTTCAGAGGCCTTCGGAGACCACCCCACACCCTCCACAGCTACTCCCCAGCCCTGCCCCCATTACCCACTTCACATATTACCTATGCATTTATCTATTTATTTGAACATCCTTCCCAGTGAAATCTGTTCACACTTATATCTGCAGTGTGTAAATATCTGGGTTATAATGTGAGAAGCAGCAGCAAAGGCTTATTTGTAATAGTGTAGACAGGAAGCAGCCCATGTATTCTCAAATCCCACACTGAAGTTCAAAGGAACTTATTTTGACTTACTGAGAGTCCCCCCTGGCTAACTAAATAAAACCAAAACTCACAGAAGCACCAGGGGACTCAGACAGGCCAAGGTTTTCAAACCAGGCTTACAGGAACATCGAACATTTATACACGCAGCATTTTACAAAACCACCTTTCACAGAGGACCTCATTTGCCTGCAAAACAACCTTGTGAGAAACAGGGCAGGTTTTACTAATTCCCATTTTACTGACGAAGAAATCGAGGCTCAGAGATGCTTGATTGTGTCTCAGGAGCTTCAAGACAACCCCCCCACCGCCCGCCCGCTGTCTTCGGGCAGTGGGGGGGGTGTCCAAGCTGTGCCAGACACTCAGCACCCACCTGCCCTTAGGGCTATAGGCAGGAGCAGGAGGAGCACCCAAGAGGCACCTGCTGCTGCCAAGAACAAGACCCAACCCCGGGGACACAGGCAGATTGCAGAGAAACTAATAAACTAGTTAAAAGACAAGTATTTTAATCTAGTTTCCCCACTTTAAACTAAATCATTAATACAGGTCACAAATTGCATTTATTGGTAGACATCTAGAAAACAATCAAAAGTGTATATATCTCTCTCTCTAGATCTTATTAATAAATTTTATTTGGACAAGAGAACTTGTGCCACAACAGTTTAAACAGCATGATTAAAGACTGCAGCACTCCCAAGAGTGGTCACAGGTATGTACAGTATGTGAAGAAGTTGCACCTCTGAGCTGATCATGATCAAGTTAAAAACACCAGACATACATTATACGTCTAATAAATTTCCTTCAGGTCATGACCAGCATGAAAAAATCAGACACAGACACTCAGCAACCATTCTGTAAATGTGTACAGCAATATGCTGCGCTTAAGAGTTAAAGTCAATCCTACTTTTGTGTTAGCATCAAGCCCTCAGGGGAAGTAAAAAACCCTCCTTTCCCATTTACACACATCAGAAATGATTCACACACAGGGCTGGGCTGGACAGCTGGTCACACAGCCCAGCAAGTCCTTGTGCCTGGGAGAGAAGAGTCAGGGCTGATACTGAAGGTCTCTTTCACATCTGGGCAAACGCGTGCCTTCAGGCTGTAAGAATTTCATTTGTCGGCTGTTAAATAAAACCAGGAGAAAGCAATGCAGGTCTCTGGGAATCTCATCCCTTCCATAAGGAAAACGCTCTGCCAATTCAAGTTTCATTCAGTCAGGAAGACGGAAGGATTTAAGGCTTCGGTGACAATTATAATCCTCTGAGAAATTATTTCCCCTTAAAGTCAAGATAAGATAATAGTGTTTACTGTACTTTCTCTTGACGCTTAAAATCCCTGGTATTGGGTATAGGCAACTTGCACCTGCAATGAAGCCTGCAGGAGAGGGAAGTCGCTCCTCCCCCGAAAGCTATCCCAGGTCACATACGTGCGGAACGCCCACTGAACCTCGGCTCCCACGGAAGCAGGAGAGACACCGAGATTCAAGCCTTCTAGTAGGTTGAGGACGCTGTGCTCATGGCATCTTCAGAGATTTTGGTACTGGCAGGGTGGATGCTTGCAAAATACTTGACATCGCTGTCCCGGTCCATCTGAAGAGCCATGATGGTCTGCTCCACAGCCTCCTGGTGGCAGCTGGCAGAGGCCAAGAAATAGTCTGGAAATGACACGTGCACAGGACAGGTGAAACCAGTCCAACGGAACATTTCAGAGTTCCGTCAAGTACGAGTATAAACAGTTAAACTGGGTATTTCTACAAGTACAAACAGAAGCCACACTGAAACATAAACAGTAATCCAACCTGATTTGTTATAGGAAGAAAAAGTGCCAGAATAAAAAGAGTTATGAGATTTATCTTGTTTTTATAAGACTAAATCTCATGATATTCAATGACAGCTAAGGAATATTAAATTATTAAATAAATAAATGAAAACATCACACTTCTTAGCTATTAAGTAGCAGTAAAAGAAAAACGCTTCCAAACACCAACTACAAAAAAAAAAAGGAGGAAAAAAAGCAGCAATATTCATTTATCCTTATTCTTTGACGTCTACTACAAATTTCTTTCTGTGCTTCATTCATCCATGCAACTATATTGATGAGGTGTTTGGGTGGCAGGCGGGGTGGGGGTCGATTAAATAAAATAAACCACCTCTAATCTTGAAGAGATTATAATTTCCAACAAAACAAATACTACGGGGCATCTGTCTCTTGCTTAATGAAGAGAAGGAGGGAGAGCAAACACAGGTACCAGCCTCCATACTGAAGATTGCAAGATTGCAAGTGGCATGCTGCCAGCCAATGGTTTGCACATAAAGAGAATGAATACCCAATTTTAAAAACTAAGTTTTAGGTCAGGCATGGTAGGTCATGCCTGTAATCCCAGTACTTTGGGAGGCTGAGGCAGGCAGATCACATGAGGTCAGGAGTTTGAGACCAGCCTGGCCAACATGGTGAAACCCCGTCTCTACTAAAAAGATAAAAAGTTAGCTGGGTGTGGTGGCAGGCACCTGTAATCCCAGCTATTGGGGAGGCTGAGGCAGAAGAGTTGCTTGAACATGGAAGGCAGAGGGTGCAGTGAGCTGAGATCGCACCACTGCACTCAAGTCTGGGTGACAGAATGAGACTCAGTCTCAAAAAATCAAGCAAACAAAAGAGCTAAGTTTTAAATGATAAAAATGATCCATGCCTACGATAAACTCCAACTTGAACAGAAGAGGGCTAAAAAACCCCTTTCATCTTCCATGCCCTCTTGGGAGAACCACCAGAACAACTAAAATATTTCCTTCCACCAGATTATTTTCTCTGAGCAGACAATACTTCTGCTTTGGTATCTGTTGATCAGCGCAGTCGACAGACCTCCCTCTCTACTCACACGCTTCTAGCAGAGTCACTACCTACCTTTTTCTAGCAGAGTTTGCCTTAAGGTCTTTGCAAGCAGCACTCGCACGTTAGGAACCCTGTCGTTTGCTAAGGTCAGCAGATGCGGCATCAGATGCACAGCAAACTGGTCCATGGGAAGGCAGTCATCCTCAATGACAGTCTGGGGAAAAGAAACAGCTGCTCTAGGCTTCTCTGTCAATGCAGCCAAAAACTCGACTGCTGGCCAACAAAATCTCTGAGTGACCACAGGCACAAATTTTACTTACTGCTTTTTAACCAAAATTCCAGGTACTTGGGAACTCAAATAAAAAATTACATAATTAACTGCCCACATGGACAGACAGGTTTTAAACTGCTCTACGGAGACCTAGAGTGTTCATTCACACTTTCATTTTCACACCTGTGGTCTGGGTCCCAGGCATGAGCACCGTCTAGTGGGAACCGTGGTATGGTATATGTGTGCACAGTATGTGTGTGGTGTGGTACATGTATGTATGCCTGTATAATATGCAGTGAGGAACACGCATGTATGTGCACTGTCAAATGTACACATGCACACGTCTGAATGTGTGTAGAGCAGAACACGCACATTCCAGGCATGTGGTGTGTGGTGTGGAACATGCATGTACAGCAGGCACGTGGGGTGTCCGTGGTGCGTGCCAGTGTAAGAAGGGGCTTGGCTGGCTGGGAGGGAGGGGCCAGCAGATGCCCAACAATGGGGACAGGTGATCCTAGAAACAGCCAGGCTACCGTAAGGTTCTGTTTCTTAAGAATAAGGAAGAGGATGAGAGAGAGGTAGGAAGTCAAAGAAGACATTCTTCTAGGAGAAAAACTCACAAACAGGTAAGCCCAGGGCCTCGCTTACCTGGCAGACAAAGACAAAGGCTTGCCGACCAGACCACTTGGGACATCTGCCGAAGTTCTCCACAAGTTCATTGATGAGGTCCACGCCGAACGTTGGTGGTGTTGCCGCGTGCAGCTTCTTCACCATCTCGCTGACCTGGGAGGGTGAGTGTGAAGTGAGGAACAGCTTCCAATCTAGGATCTTAGAGTTTACTGATCTAAAATTTTAAAAGTTCAATACATACCAACTTGTAGGAAATCCAACGAACAGAAGAAACCTTGTCTGCACACAGATTCAGAGCAATGGGACGTAAATAGTCATAAACATCTCTGGGACTATATAACTCTAGAAGTAAAATCAGCTGTCTACAAAAAGGAATTACAAAAACATAATGTTTAAAAATCGGCGAGACAAATGAAACCAGGTTCTCATTTAAATAATCTGCAATACTGGATTACGGAGCACCTGTCTCAAACACATGCAAAGAGGAGCGACTAAGCAGACCTCTCCTGTACAGTCACCTCCAGTCTCTGTGCATCTGGAAACGCACTCACATGCTATTCAAGTTCCCTAGAGTGTAAGGAAACAAAAGCCATAGAGCTCTGCATCCATGGGAACGGAGAGAGCAAAGCACTTCCTAGTATGTTCAACTGGAACATGGCCCACACCGATCCATGGTTACAGTTTGGAACGTGCTGAGAAGCTTCCATCTACAATCAAGTTTCTCAGTAAGAAGTTCCCTCAGAGGCAGGGAGTCTGCTGTGTACCTGTCGAGGCTCTGAGAAGCCTTCCTGGAAGGGACTCGCTAGGGATAACAGAGGGAGGGTGTCCTCCAGCGACCTTCCCATCACATCTGAGGGGCCCTGAGACTTTCATGACATCCACCAAGCTAACCTGAAGGCTTCAATGATGCCCTTGAAGAAATACCCTGGATGTGAGACTTTTGCCTTTCAGATTTTATGTGCAAGATGATTTACATTTCTAATAAGCAGGAAGTCAACTGTAACATGAATGTAGATTATGCAGTCATGACAATGCACCTGTGTATACAAACATACATCCTCAGACACACGTACTTTTCGACAAAGTTCAAAATCAGAATTCCAAATAGGACATCAGTTTCTGCTTAGAATACAGAAAACTGCAAGAATGTCACTGACCCTACAGTAGAAAAAGCTATATAAACGTCAAGATCTTTTCTTGAGCCCATCAGAGAGCTGGAGTTGCAAAGCACCCAAACAGCCTAACTTTCCCCCTCAGCAGAGCCCGGAGGGACAGGGCACCTGCCAGCACATAACAGGGTGGGGAGAAATCAGCTCGAATTGTAGCCAGCTGCCCAGGGCCAGATGGTGGCTGGCACGAGCACGGAGTGGCTCAAGCAAAGCCATATGTGCCCGACACAGGGAGCTCACATCCCCAGGCAACCTTCTGACCTTCTGACTTCCACAGGGTACCTGCCTCCCATGGGTGCTTCAAGAAAGACAGTCAGGAGAAACAGGAGCGATGTCTCATAGCAGGCAGAAGCGGCTGACGGACAGCCACGAATCACCAAGCACTCTACTGGGCCCTTCGCTCACACAAAGCAAAAGGCTTAACCTGCTGGTGGAGGGGCCCAAAGCCTGTCCACCCTGTGGGCCAGCAAAAACGCTGCAACTGGGGGAGAGGAGAACTAACGCTCCTTATTCTAGGAGGAGCTGCAGGAAGTCCTGCCCGAGACCAAGCACAGACAGGAGGTCCTACCCATTACACAGGGGTGCAGGTATAGCTAAAGCCTGGGTGGAATACTCGCACTACAAGACCACTGGTGCCCCAGCTCCCACCCTCAGCAAACGGCAATGGTAGTGGCAGCCCACCGTGAGGAAAACTGAAGCCCCAAATACACTGAAGGTAACCACAGCAATGACAAAACGCAAGCCCAGCTTGATCCTGACTAGCTGGACTCACATCCCGGCACTACATGGCGGAAGAGGAGGCGTGCATTTCCAGTCAGAAGTGGGCAAGCCAGAACTCAATGGAGTGGCATTTTTAATACACTGAAAGACAAACTGTCAGCCCCACATCCCATACTCAGCAAAGACGTCATCTGAAAATACACGTGAGGTCTATGATATGGAATATATAAATAGCTCTTACAACTCAACAACACAACTTAAGATAAACAACCCAATTTAAAAATGTGCAAGAGACTTGGATAGACATTTCTCCACAAAATATACACAAATGGTTAACAGGCTTAGGAAAAAGTGTTCAACATCATTAGTCATTAGGGAAATGCGAATCATACCACAACGAGGTGCTGTTCCACGCCCATCAGAACAGCTATCAATGATAAGCGAGTGATGGATATGCTAATTGCCCTTATCTAACCACTATCCAATATGTATTGCAACATCATTACATACCTTGTAAATATGCACAATTATTATTTGGCCAATTTAGAAATATTTTTAAAATTTAATAGGAAAATAGGTGTTAGTGAGGACATAGAGAAATTGGAACTCCCATACGTTGCTGATGGGAATGTAAAATGGTACAGCTGTTGTGGAAAAGTCTGGCAGTTCCTCAATGAATTAAACACAGAATTACCATATGGCCTTGCAAATCCACCTCAAAATAACTGAAAACAGATTTCAAGGATTAAATCTTGTACATAAACGTTCCTAGCAGCACTATTCACAAAAGACCACACACCCAACCCAAATGTTCCTCAACAGATGAATGCACTAAATGAATGTGGTATATCCATACAATGGAATATTTACTCAACCACAAAAAGGGAGGCAAGTTCAGCTAGAGGATACAGTATGGAGGGACAACTGAAAGCAGTGTTAGATGAAGAAATCAAGCACAAAAGGCCACATGTGGTATGATTCCACTTGCATGACATGTCCACAATAGGCAAATCCATAGATAGTAAGTAGATGCTTATTGGACATGCGTTTTTCTTTTCGGGAGGTTAACATTTTAGAACTAGATAGAGGGAATGGTTCCACAACATTGTGAATGTACTAAATGTCATCAATAGCAAATTTGGCTATGTGTATTTCACCATGATAAAAATAATATAAAAATGAACTAAAGACATTTTCAGGAAGAAAAAAAAAAGTTGAAGAAATTCACTGACAGTAAGACATGTATTACAGGAAGCGTTAAAGGGCTAGAACACCACATAGAAACTTGGATCTACACAAAGTAATGAAACTGAGAGAAGGTAAAAATGAAGTAAATATATACCCCTCCAAAATATAATCTAATAAACTGTTAGAACTTACTCAGCCAGTTCAGCTCGAAACCGCCAATTTCTACTATTATCTGTCACCAAAAACTCCTGAAGTTGATAAAGATACTCTCTTCTTTTGTCAATATGAAGAAGCTAAAGTAACAAAATAAAAATATTTACCAGGACAAGGTACAGACATTATTTCTTTTATTAGAGTGTGTAAAAACAGACTGTAAGCAATATGGTTAATTCTTCTGAAAAGGAAATGTAGTAGTTGTATTTAAATGTTTTAAATTTGGTATTAAGTTTATTTTTCCTTGAATAACTCCATTTGCCTTCAGGAATCACCATCTTGTCTGGAAATCTTTGTTCCTTGTGCCTATCAATGAGCCACACTAAACCCCACAGTACGGCGGGCACAGCTTGATTACAGGACTTGCCCCCCTTTATTCATATGACATCCTTGTTGCCATGGCCCCACTTAAGGCAGTAATTATGCTCTTAACCACGTGTGTAAGCCCTGCATGTGGCACTGTGACAGCACAGAGCAGGCATTCAGTATTTGTTGAGAGAAAAAAAATAAAGAAATGTATCCCAATAGCTGCTCTATAAATATTTAAAGGGGGAAGCAAACCAACCTAACTGTACATCAGATGGAAACCAATCACAGGGAAAAAAGCCAAAGTGTGAACTGAGTGACCACACATCTTCAAGAGACAGTCTAAGGACAGAATGTGCTAGGAAGTCCTGAGTATTACGTAGCTGATTTGATGTGGGAATTATTATTGGTGGAGTAACTCTGAAACTATTTCATTTATGTTGTGGAACTGAGCAAACTTTTTTTTTTTTTTTTTTTTTTTGAGACAGTCTCACTCTGTCATTCAGGTTGGAGTGCAGTGGTGTGATCTTGGCTCACTGCAACCTTCGCCTCCCAGGTTCAAGCGATTCTCCTGCCTCAGCCTCCCGAGTAGCTGGGACTATGGGCACCCGCCACCACGCCCAGCCTATTTTGTATCTTTAGTAGAGACGGGGTTTCACCGTGTTAGCCAGGGTAGTCTCCATCTCCTGACCTCAAGTGATCCGCCTGCCTTGGCCTCCCAAAGTGCTGGGATTACAGGCCACTGCGCCCAGCCACAACTAAGTATTATACATTAATGTTGTTAAGAACAGACTTTTTACCAGGAGTAAAAAGAAAAAAATATATAAAGTGAAGAAAAGAGAGGAAACAGTATTGAAATGGAAGTAGTTCTTAACAATATGAAGTTAGTAATTAAAAAAAAAAAAAAAAAGTACACACCTCCTAGCTACTATCTCCTGAAAAGACCTAAACGAAATGACAGCCCAGGAGCAATAAGCACTTCCAGTGCCTGGATCTCAGTTTCTAAGGACCATTCTCCACTAAAAAGGACCACAGTTCCTTGCAGAAATAGCTGACTCCAGGCTGGGACAGGGAAAGGGAAAGTTGAAACTGCAAGTGTTGATACGCTTAAAAATAAAAGGACAAATCAAAGGACACAAGAGGCAGCTTTAAGGGGTCCCCACTAGTCAAATTTGATGCTCAAAACAAACGACAGAAATGGATTGCATTACGTTGAATTTTTTAAATCCTAGAGTCCACACCAATACTAAAACAACTTTTGAAACCGGGGAGGGAGAGAAGGCACAGGTTATTTTACACAGGAATGTTACTTAATAAAAACAGAAGGAATGGCCGAGCATAGTGGCTCATACCTGTAATCCCAGAACTTTGGGAGGCTAAGTCGGGGCAGATCACTTGAGCCCAGGAGTTCAAGACCAGCCTGGACAACACAGCGAAACCCCGTCTCTACAAAAGATACAAAACTCAGCTGGGTGTGGTAGTGCGCCTGTGGCCTCAGCTACTCAGGAGGCTGAGGGTGGGAGGATCACCTGAGCTGGGAGAGGTGGAGGCTGCAGTGAGCCATGATCGCACCATTACACTCCAGCCTCGGCAACAGAGTGAGACCCTGTCTCAAAATAAGTTAATTAATTTAAAAAAAACAGAATTATGAAAATAGAAAATCACTCTTTCACAACCAACACAGTTAACTGATTCAGGTAAGAACCATGTACAGATGCCTGGCTATGAGAGCACTGGTGAAGGACTCTAGAGAAAAAGATACTCAGAGTTCTAAAGTATCACCTCACCAATTCTCTATTAACCACAAAAGGTGAAAGGTCATTTTATAATGGAATTGCCAGCCTTCTCGTCACCAATGATGGGAAGAGCCAACATCACATTAGCCCTGATGTGACACATTCAGAAAAATGCATGAAAACCTACACAGGTTAACATGTCTGCAAAAAAACCTTGCTTACCCAGAATCAAATTGTGTAAATTCAAATTGAGGGTAATTCTGTAAAACAACTGGTTTGGACTCCTCAAAAATGCCAGTGACACCTAGATTTAAGAGGACTAAAGAAACATAACATTTAAATTTAATATGCACTTTATGGGATTCAAAATTAGGCAGAGAAAAACTAAAAAAGGACAATACTGGGACAATTAGAAAAATTTCACGCCAGGCGTGGTGGCTCACGCCTGTAATCCCAGCACTTTGGGAGGCTGAGGCGGGCGGATCATGAGGTCAGATCAAGACCATCCTGGTTAACATGGTAAAACCCCATCTCTACTAAAAAAACCAAACCAAAACAAAACAAAACAAAAAACCAGCCAGGTGTGGTGGCACGCACCTGTAGTCCCAGCTACTCGGGAGGCTGAGGCAGGAGAATCACTTGAACCTGGGAGGCGGAGGTTGCAGTGAGCCAAGATCATGCCACTGCACTCCAGCCTGGTGACAGCAAGAATCTGTCTCAA